ATCAAACCCGAAAAGGGAATCTAAGGATTTGTTGAAGGCATTACCCAAACAATCCATGTATATATCATGGAATATTTACCATTAACCCCTTAAAACAGCATAAAGCCCACCCTTCTTCAGTTCGTGACCTTTTCCGGGTTCCCAAACTCGTGACCTTTTGCTGACAGAGGAGATCAGAAAGGTCACTTTGAAGATCCAGGTAGGCACCTCTTCCAGTCCCATCAAAGACCTTGGGTGATGAATCTGCGAAAGGCCTCGCCGAAAGGCCCTCTGAAGGCCTGAAGGCCTCAAGGGTAAGAACAAGTCCCTCACTTCAATAGACTCGCCAACGAGACGAGTCACCCAAGGCTTGGCTTCTCGAGGGATACCCGCGATGCCGTGGGCGTCCGTTCGGGAGAGTCCGTCCCTTTTCTTTGGCCTGGCGGCCTGGCCTTGGGCGCGACCTGTTTCCCCTCCCAAAACCTAGTGACAGGTGGCAACGTATGGCACCTGTATAGCTCACTGTAGGTGTCCTCTCTTTGCGAGAGTCAGTCCAGTTTCGAGGGCTTCAAAAGGACACGTCTCATCACAACAGAAATGGAAGTGTCCTGAGGACACCACAAACGTGGGATTTTTTCAAACTCCGGGGTGTCCTGGCTGGGGATCCACCTAATTAGTAGTGTAGGGGGGCACAGTCCCAAAAACCCTCACAAACTGGAAAGCTTCGAAGAGAACCCGCTCCGCGAACCCGCGGTCGTTGCTCCTCGTCGGGCACACCGTTCTCCTTGGCAAACTCCTCGTCGGACCGCGGACGAGGCGAGGCGACTCGAAAGGGCCGCCGGTCATGGTCGCGGTGGCCGGGTGGCGGCCATGCAGGTGGTGCTTCATGGCAGCAGAGGGGACTGTTCCGGCAGGCGGAACGCGTTCCGGATGTGCACGGCGTGTTCTTACGAAACGTTTAAAGCATCAGCAGAATAGCCAAAATGCTAATTGCTGTGCCAAAATCGAGGACTCCCTTCACGAAGCTTTGGGCTCTTGTCCAACCATTGCAACCATTCACCAGGATTTCAAGTCACAAGTCTTGAACAGCCATGCGACATCATACGACAGTATAATACAGTATACAGGTCTGTTTGCCCCAAAACAGAATTCTCCTTGGCTCACCCACCCCACACACGCGCCGTCGCCGTGGAAGGTTTTCCCACACCCGCTCAAAACAGCGGGTGTGAGCGGGTGTTCCGGTCAACCCCACTCCCAGAGTCGGCCCCTTCACCAACTGCTGCGGTGAAGGGACCAAAACCCAAGGCAAACGGGTCAGGGTCAAATTTGTAGCCAACGGGTTGGGTCCCTTCTGACCTTGTAGGCGGTACAAAAATGTAAATGAATATTTAATAGCTTGACCCAGCGAGGTGGGCGAAAACATCAGAACACACGGTCCCGTGAACCCTGCGTCTCGCCTGCAAAGGTGTGATCTCGTTCATCCCCTGCAGCAAGGCGCGCTGCAAGGCCACCTGCGCCAGTTTGTGGTGCTCTTCTCCCAGCTTCAATGTGATCCTTTGTGGCCCCTTCTTTCGTGACGGCCAAACCGGACACGAAACTCATGGGATACCTTTTGTGCTTTGAGGTGACCCATGGGTTGAAAGAGCGCTCCTTCGTTTCACCTCAGGTTCAGGATCGCTCGCTCCTTCGGTTCCTCCGCTTCGGACGGACGCGGATCGGCCCGCTCGCGCGCCGTTTCCGGGCGGTGTCCGTTCCGGTCCTCGGGTGGTCCTTACTGGGTGTCCGGGTGGGAACCGCGGGGGCGACATGGATCGCGGGGTGGGTCGGACCCTTCTTGAGGGTCGAAATGGTGGCGTTTGCAAACAGAGAAGGTAGTCAGTCGTGGTGACCTGTGTAGTCAGTCGGGTGCTGGTATGAATCTATGAGTCAAAGATGACCGGACTGAAGGATTGAAGGATGTGGCTCTTAGGCTTGGATGAAGGTGCACCAGATCTTGTCCACCTGGATCGGAAGATATGTGGATGCTTCAGATGAGCTTCGATGGCTCAACCGTCCCACTTCAGTCTTCAAAGGTCAGCCCTGAACTCCAAGCAAATCAGATCAAAACAGGGTGGAGCAATGTAATATGCTGGCAACTATACTTGAGAAGTCTCACAAGCTCGCTTGCCACTGCTGTTTGGGCTCTTGGAAGTCACCCAACAAGCCCAGCAAGTCACCCCAACCACCCCCCAACGTGACCTTGTAGACCTTATTGGCATCGAAGGGCTTCTTGTTCACTTCAACCAACTCGTGCTTCTCGTTCGCGAAGGATCCCACATCCTCAGCGCGCGCGCGAACTCCTGAAGAACGGAGTTAAAACGAGTCCAACGACCGTGGCGTGAAACCGTGCGGCTTCGTGGGTGTGGAATGTATGGAAACATCCCATTACACTCCATGGGACTGGAATCTATGCCTATATATATATATATAATCCTATATACATTGGTCTCGAACCAATCATGCGAATCATGTTGTTTGTTTATGTCGAGATCCTGTCAGTGTCAGGATCTCAAAACCCAGTTCCATTGGAGTTGCTCGTGAACGAGTTCCTTCGGAGGGTCGGAGTTTGCGAGTTCGTGCGAACGGTAGGGGTGTCACGCCTACCGTTCGCCCATTCAGAAAGGGACGTATGAATCCATACATTGGGGTGGTGATACTGGGGGGTCAATGTAGGCAAAAAAGAACCAGTCCCATGGAGCGTCTGGGAGTCCATTCGACCATCGAAAAATGGTGGAGCGCGGAGGGGGGGTGGGATCTGAAAAAGTCTCCTTTCCAAGGTGCATATTACGTCACCCTGCAATGGCACTGACCTTTTGCACATTCGGACCGCTCCGTTCCTTGTGGTAAGGCGTGCGTAAAGCGTGGGACGGGCGCCCCGATGTGAATCTGACCAGCCGAGAGGTGCATGCGATGCCCTGGGGATGGGTTCTTTTTGCTCCAGAACGGCGATCGTCCAACCTGTGACGGCCAAGAACGCCGAAAATCCTCCTGAGCAGTGACAGTCCGGACCTCTCATGCAGCGTCGGACGGACCGACGGAAGAGTACCGGACAGCACCCGAAGCAAGAAGACAAACACATCACAGCCTCTTTGGAGAAGTGGTGGGAGACAAACATGACAAAGCTACACACATCACACATCAACACACACTGCTATAGCCACCCTTCTTCCTACCGCCCTAATCGTTGCCGTGGCTCCAAGTGCAAAAAGCCCGGCTTCTCGCCCTCCTTGCTCCGAGAGAACTTCACCGCCTCACCGAGCGAACTTCGCCGACGTCCACGGTCCGCGACCGGGTGGAAGAAAAGCCTGGTCTTAGGCGCTCTGGTCGTCCTGAGGTTTGGTTTGCTTCCGTGTGTCCGGTGTGTTGTTCTTTTCAGATGAAAACGAGCAGAGGACGGGACGAGAACATCCGAATTGATCCCGTTGATCTCTCCGGAGAAAGCAGCAGCTCACAGTGATCTCTCCGGACGCAGCGTTCGCTCGCAGAAAGCGCCGCGTGGGAGCGAAGCGGATCTCCGCCTCGGCCAGCTTCGAGCCCTTCATGGGTACCACCGCCACGGCCTCGGACACATCCCGCAGGGCAGCGGGGCGTGGTCAGGTGCCGAAGTGAGGTGTCAACGTGAAAACGAATCGAGTCTGGGCCTTCGACACCTATTAGAAAACAAAAGACCACGGGATCCTCAACCATTTAATGGTGGAACACGTATTGCGCGGATACCAATTTAAACCGGTAAGGGTTAGTTAGAAGACCCTGGGTCGTATCGATAGAAAACCAGATGCTTTTTGCCAAATAGGATATGAGCAGGGCAGGTTACTATGGTGGGTGGTGCGAAGGTCGCGATGCCGCTTTTGGCACCTGTGGTTCCCTTTTGGCACCTTTCTTGGAACCTCATTGCACTGTTGGGTCCACCTGTGAGGGCTGAGACTTCCACCTCTTCACAAGAAAGAAACCTCCACATCTTCTCTCCCCAACTCTTTCTATACCAGCACCGAACCCAACAGGTCTCCTTTGGATGGTTGTTAGGCCCTAACAAGTTTCAATTGGTGACCTGTTGGCCGTCGGTGCTGGTCTAGGTTTCCACCTCTAGCCCGCATCTCCGCCTCCCAAGTGTCCCGCCCTCCCGCCTCCGCATAGGCGATCTCCTTGTAAAGATCGCCCAAGGTGAAGGCCCCAGCCTTGTAGTCGCAGCGTCCTGGATCGCCGCACGGGACATGCCATTCCAGGCAGAGTTGAGGCGTTTGAGGACGAATCGAGGAACCAATGCGTATAAATATATGTATAACATATAAATCCCCTTGGGAATTACGGATAAGGGTTGGGACTTGCATTTTATAGGCATAACCCAGAGGATTATAGTATCTATCTTCGATCCTGTCATCAAAAACGGTCTACCGTCCACGGTGCAAAACATTGGCACTGAGACCTGCAGGAAACCTGAAGGTATGCTCGGCTTTCTTCTTCAGAGAATCATAGCTCAACTTAGATGATTGGATTTCGCTCACGTCTGACATTTTCCATCGGTTTCCATACAGCCGAGCATGGCAGCAGAGACTGCTTTCTTCTTTGGACCACTTAGACTCTGACTAGAGTATAGGAAAAGGACACGACACCAGGTGCATGACACTTTGAAGTCTATTCATATGTCTAATCCACTTCTTCCCATCTCATTTTGAGATCCCAAAAAGGATTGGGCTTAGGTAAAGGAACCAAAACCCTTTAAGCACGCCGGCGACCAACTC